CCCGTCCCAGGGCGCCTGTTGTGGGGCGGCTCCGGGAGCAGCTGCTGGAAGGTTGGGATTCTCCGCCAAACACGCCCTTTTCTCCTGCGCCCTCACCTCCCGTGCAGAGGCTGCCTTGGTGTCCCTGCCGGTGGGGAGTGAGGGGCCAGCAGTCCGGGCAGGGCGTGTGGGCTGGGGGTCGGTGCCCCAGCCCGGTGGGTACACTGGGCTTGTCCTCAGGCTGGAGTGGGCGGGCAGTGCCAGGCAAACACTGCAGTGTTTCTGAAAGGTCAGCATTTATGTTTAGCGTTTCCTCCTGCATTTTCAAACGGTGGCATGTGTTGTCTTGTTGTGCCGAAGCTGCTGTGCATTTTATTTTTTTTCCCCGCTGTTTCTTTCAAGTCCTTAAATGGAGTAATTGCTGTTGAAGGCTGTTAGAGAAGAGTTTTATGCGTCCACTGCCTTTGCAAAATCCGAGCGCGTTGGCGGTGTCCCTTTGCCTGGATCCGCGGTTCGGAGCGAGCCGTCTGTGCTGTGCCTTGGTGGTAACTTTGAGCCCTCTGGGAGTGGGAAACTCCCAAAGCCAGTCAAGAGTGGAGGAGGAAGGGAAGGAAAACATCGGTGGTTAACGCAGGATTAAAATACCGAAAACCTTCCTTCCCTCCCCGTTGTTGACTTAAGCCACCGAGACGTGGCACACACAGAGCCCCGTGTTTGCTGTTAGTCACCCGTACACAGGCACAGTGTGTTTGCTGTGCAGACTCTGCAGCACCAGGTCGTTGTCCCAGGCAGGTGGTGGCGGTGGATCTGCAGGTGTGGTCCTTGGCCCAGGAGCCAAGTCTGGTGTCAGCAGACGCTGTGAGGGCGTTCTGTTTAGTAACCTGTCATTTAAGAGGTCTGAGCCTCCAGAACTGAGAAGGAAAATGTAGAGAACTCTTAACCCTTAAGCAATCTCTGGCTGTCCCGCCAGTGTGTTGCAAGCAGTAGAGTCAGCTCCTTGTTCCTTGCGAGGGCTCTGCAGTGTCTGGTAAAGGATTTCCTGTGTAAAAGTGTTTCCACATGAACATTTGACCTACTTCTGCTTAGCCATATTGTTTCCTTGTGTTGAAGTGATGTTTCTGCATTTGCCTTTTCCACGGGTTTATTAGTGGATGGGAGAGTAAATAAGTATCAAATAATGCATTGCTGACAGAGGACAGTCTGTGAACATTGGCACAGCTCCATACACCCTGGTGACACTCCTCAGTTAGAGTTTTTTCCCCCCACCTTTTTGTTTGCAAATAGAGTATATTTTTGTTATCTAAATATTAATGATTTATTTGAAAATTCTGATGTCCTAATTGCATTAGTCGAAGGTCTTTTCTCAGCAGTTGCATTGTCTAACACCTTTGTTAAGTTAGTGTTGCCTGAATGAGTAAGTTCTTGCAAATCGCATACCTGTGTGTCAGATCAAATTGCCCGTATTTGTTTTCTATAGGCAATGTTCAGTGACTACCAGTGACTTGATTTCAGATGAAAATTCTTGTTTTCTAGTTCTGTGCAACATCCACACTGCTGGCACCAAGAACAGGAATGTAGAAGCTGGAATGATTCAGATTCTTTGGTATTTGAGGAATATCAATGTGAGCATTCAGACCACTGGCTGGAGAGGTAAGGAATAACTGTATTCTTTAAATGTGTCTTTAAATCTTCACATTCTTGCACTCTTTAGGACTCAAGAAAAGCTTGGGCATGATTAGCTTAAATGTTTTCTAATAACACAATAGTATAGAGTTAGGAAATAATACCTGCATCCTGCCAGGAGAAAACCATCCATTTTGTCTGATTGACATACAAGCCATAATATTAGCAAGTATTCCACATGAAAGGGAGAAATGGTGTACACTGAGGCAGTAGTCTAAGCTCTTTATTGCTGAAGTCTTCAGTATTAGTATAAAATTCCCATTGAAGCCAAGTTCTGTTACTCTCATGCTTTGCCTTTGCATCTTTGTGTAAATGTGGGCAAACCATCTTTGTCTCTTCACTTGACGGTGCACTTGGTATGTTCAGCTGAATTGCAGTTTTTAGTAAGCACCTTTTCTTTTTTTTTTTTTTTTTTTTCATAGTCCAGTACTAAGAACAATTTGAGATGAGATAAATTTTATATGTA